CACACACTCTCTCTCTCTCTGTCTCTCTCTCTCTCTGTCTCTCTCTCTCTCTGTCTCTCTCTGTCTTTCTCTCTGTCTCTCTCTCTCTCTTTATCCCTCTCTGTCTCTCTCTCTTTTTCTCTTTATCCCTCTCTGTCTCTCTCTGTCTCTCTCTCTCTTTATCCCTCTCTGTCTCTGCCTCTCTCTCTGTCTCTGTCTCGATCTCTCTCTCTTTGTCTCTGCCTGTCTCTCTCTTTATCCCCCTCTGTCTCTCTCTGTCTCTGTCTCTCTTCCTCTGTCTCTATCTCTCTGCCTCGATCTCTCTGCCTCGCTATGTCTCTTTCTCTCTCTCTCTGTCTCTTTTTCTCTCCCTCTTTCTCTCTCTTTATTCCTCTCTGTCTCTCTCACTGTCTCTCTCTATATGTCTCTCTCTGTCTCTATCTACCTCTCCCTCTCTTTCTCTCCCTCTCTATCTCTCAGCCTCACTCTCTCCACAGTGTGGGTGAAAACAACCTTATCTCAGTTAAAAATGTGCATCTCACAGAGTTAGACAGACACAGAGAGAGAGAGAGATATTATATCCGACAGTCCACACCAGTCCCATCAACACATATTCCCTGAATAGAATCCACCCCCCCATCACTCCCACTGCAGGGCAGGGATAGCACGGGGTTAGATACAGAGTAAAGCTCCCTCTATACTGTCCCCCCATCAAACACTCCCAGGGACAGCACGGGGTTAGATACAGAGTAAAGCTCCCTCTACACTGTCCCCCCCCCTCCATCAAACACTCCCAGGGACAGGGGCATGTGCAGATAATATCTCCCCGCATCCTCTGTTCCTCAATCTCTCCCTCTCTGTCCCTCTCTCTCTCTCTCTCTCCATCTCCTCCCTCGCCCACATTCGGTCTCTCCTCCCCTCCATCTCTCTATCAATACCTGCCATTCTCCCTCTCTCCATGTGTGTGTACCCTCTCCCTCAGCACCTCTCTCTCTCTCTCTCTCTGTATCACAGTCTGCCTCGCTCACATTTTCTCTCTTCACCTTTCTCCCTCTCATTCTCTCTCCCCAACCCCTCTCTCTTACCCATCCTCTCTATCTCACACCTCCGCCTCTCTCACTCTCCACATCTCTCCCACTCTCCCTCAACACCTATCACTCTATCTCGCTGTCACCCACAGTTTCTCTCTCTCCTCCTCCTTTCTGTCATCTCCCCCATTCTCTCTGATTCTCTCTCTCTTCCTCCCTGTCTCTCTGACTCTATCACTCTCTCCTCTCCCTCTCTTGCTCTCTCTCTGTCTCTCTCTCTCTGTCTGTCTCTTTCTCTCCCTCCCTCCACCCCCTCATCTCACTCTCCCTGTCTCTTTCTCCCTCTCCCCCGCTCCCTCTTTCTCTCTCTATACCCCCTCCATCCCTCTCTCTCGCTCTTAGCCTCTCTGTCTCTCCCTCCCTCTTGTCTCTCTTTCTCTCTCTGCGTCTCCATCTCTCTCCCTCCCATGCTCTCCCTCTCTCTCCCTCCTTCCCTCTCTCTCGTTCCCTCCGTCTCTCCCACTCTCTCTGGGAGATCAATCCCAGATGGGGCTGCCTGGTTGGGAATACCAGTGACTGGGGAATGATCTCATGTGGTTGTTATTTTGTCCTGCATCTGGGAGCGGCAAGAGGCCAGATACAGATGGTGGGGGTTTGTGGGGGGTGGGTGAGAGAGCACGTGGAGTGTGTTTTGGGCGCAGCGGGGTGGGGTTTGCTGTGTCGGGGGTGGGTTAGGAGGGAGGAACAGGTTTGAACCTGCTGGATGCCCCCTTGCACCCCACTCTGACACAATGCATCAGGTCGCTGTGATCCCAAACAGGCGGCCGCAGAGCTGGGGGCTGTGGGCGGGGGGGGGGGT